TGGATATGCTTTCATGGATACCTGGGTGTACACATATTCCACGGCCACCTCAGCTGAGCTGTTGCTGGCAATGTAGGTCCTATGCTGGAATAGATTTTGAGAGCATCAAACTTATTAATGTGCCTGAACTTCGAACCTTATAGCACAGAAGGAAGCCATTTGCCCCGATATTCCTGTGCCAGCTCTTTGGCAGAACTCCCTGTTACAGGCAGTGCATTACAGATCTTTTTAACTTGCTGCGTAAACAAATTCTGTCTCTCTCATCTCTTACTCTTCTGCCAATTATCTCAAAAGCTCATCTTGGGTGAAGTTGTATTTCAAATATTCAAGTGCAACTTTTGGTATCCTAGCTGTAAATACATAATTTTAATTTCTGAGTCTGTTTATTAAATACTGTAATTTACAGTAAGAAACTGGCATGCTTTAATTGACAAAATTATCTAGGGGGGAATCTTGAGTATGATCCAGGTGTTTAAAATGCTGCAAGCAATGTTAATGTTGCAACTTGTAGATGACTTAAATTGCTTGTAAGTATAGAACTAGCAACAACTTATCATGTTAAAGATGCTATATGAATAAAATGCCCCAAGGTGCTTCACATTTATAAAACAAAACAGGGCAACCGGCCCTGCTAAGTTATTGAGTCAGATGACTAAAAAGTTTAATAATAGAGTAATTTGAGTTTTGAGGACTGCCTTAAAGGAACCAAGAAAGAGAGCTGGGAAGAAGTGGGAGAAAGAGAATTCCAGAGTTTAGGTATTGGACAATTAGGAGTTGAGGCACAAATATAAGAGTTTTGTCTTACCTTGAGTTTTTGGAGGATAGAACGTAGGAGAGAAGACGAGGTTGTTTTGAAATAGTTTGTTCTCCAGGATGGTGAAGAAATAAATGAAGACTTCAGCAGATGAGCTGCGACAGGGCCAAAATCAGGTTATGTCACAGGCATGGAAATGGGCATTCTTAGCATAAGGCTCTAGAGAGGATTATGTTGGAGCTACAGAATATCAAGTGAGAATTTAAGAGCACGTTGAGGCAGGGTTTATGGCACTGGACTAGCCCATAGTACACCCACCGTGACAGGCTGTGAAATCAAATTGAATTAATCCAGCCGCATTCTTAGCAGTAGCGTGACTGATAGCTCAAGTGTGACACCAAGGTTACAAACAAACTGACTTAATCACAAACTGTTGTCAGGGAGCGGAATGGAGTGGTTAGCTAAAGATTGGAGTTGTGAGTGGGGACTGAAAACAGTGACCTCACTTTCAAGAACATGGAAGGCCATTTTCATTCAATAAGATCTTGGCTAATCTGGTGTGGGCTGACCTCTCCTTTCCTGCCTGTCTTCTGTAACCCTTGACTCCTTTTGTAAGTTAAATACATATCGAACTCAGCCTTGAATATATTCAAAGGCTTTATCTCCATTGTTCTCTGAGATGGAGAATTCCAGTAATGACCTGCAGAAATATTTCCTACTCCTCATCATCTTAATTGGAAGATCTCTTAATTGAAACTGTGCCTACGAGTTCTAGATTCCCCACCCCCACCCCCACCCCCTCCCCAGCCACAAGAGGAAGCATCCTAGACAACAAGGTGCAGGGCTGGATGAACACAGCAGGCCAAGCAGCATCATAGGAGCGGAGAGGCTGACGTTTTGGGCCTAGACCCTTCATCAGAAAAGGGGGAGGGGAAGGGGGTTTTGAAATAAATAGGGAGAGAGTGGGAGGCGGATAGAAGAGGGATAGAGGAGAGGATAGGTGGAGAGGAAACAAACAGGTCGAAGAGGCGGGGATGGGGCCAGGAAAGGTGAGTGTAGGTAGGGAGTTAGGAAGGGGATAGGTCAGTCCAGGGAGGACGGACAGGTCAAGGGGGTGGGATGAGGTTGGTCGGTAGGAGATGGAGGTGCGGCTTGGGGTGGGAGGAGGGGATAGGTGGGAGGAAGAACAGGTTAGGGAGGCAGGGACGAGTTGGACTGGTTTTGGGATGCGGTGGGGGGAGGGGAGATTTTGAAACTTGTGAAATCCACATTGATACCATTGGGCTGCAGGGTTCCCAAGCGGAATATGAGTTGCTGTTCCTGCAACCTTCGGGTGGCATCGTTGTGGCACTGCAGGAGGCCCAGGATGGACATGTCGTCTGAGGAATGGGAGGGGGAGTTGAAATGGTTCGCGACTGGGAGGTGCAGTTGTTTGTTGCGAACCGAGCGTAAGTGTTCTGCAAAGCGGTCCCCGAGTCTCCGCTTGGTTTCCCCGATGTAGAGGAAGCCACACCGGGTACAGCGGATGCAGTATACCACATTGGCAGATGTGCAGGTGAACATCTGCTTGATGTGGAAAGTCTTCTTGGGGCCTGGGATGGGGGTGAGGGAGGAGGTATGGGGGCAGGTGTAGCACTTCCTGCGGTTGCAGGGAAAAGTGCCGGGTGTGGTGGAGCTGGAGGGGAGTGTGGAGCGGACGAGGGAGTCACGGAGAGAGTTGTCCCTCCGGAAAGCAGATAAAGGTGGGGAGGGAAAGATGTCTTTGGTGGTGGGGTCGGATTGCAGATGGCGGAAGTGTCGGAGGATGATGCGTTGGATCCGGAGGTTGGTGGGGTGGTACGTGAGGACGAGGGGGATTCTTTTTTGGTTTTTATTGCGTGGACGGGGTGTGAGGGATGAGGTGCGGGAGATGTGGGAGACACGGTTGAGGGCGTTCTCGACCACCGAGGAGGGGAAGTTACGGTCCTTGAAAAACGAGGACAACTGAGATGTACGGGAGTGGAATGCCTCATCCTGGGAGCAGATGCGGCGGAGGCGAAGGAATTGGGAATAGGGGATAGCATTTTTGCAGGAAGGTGGGTGGGAGGAGGAGTAATCTAGGTAGCTGTGGGAGTCGGTGGGCTTGAAATGAATATCGGTTTCGAGGTGGTTGCCCGATATGGAGACAGAGAGGTCCAGGAAGGGGAGAGAGGTGTTAGAGATGGTCCAGGTAAATTTAAGGTTGGGGTGGAAGGTGTTAGTGAAGTGTATGAACTGTTCGAGCTCCTCGTGGGAGCACGAGGCGGCACCGATACAGTCGTCAATGTAACGGAGGAAGAGGTGGGGTTTAGGGCCGGTGTAGGTACGGAAGAGGGATTGGTCCACGTAACCTACAAAGAGGCAGGCGTAGCTTGGGCCCATGCGGGTACCCATGGCTACCCCCTTTGTCTGTAGGAAGTGGGAGGAATTGAAAGAGAAGTTGTTGAGTGTGAGGACGAGTTCGCCTAAGCGGATGAGGGTGTCAGTGGAGGGGGACTGGTCGGGCCTGCGGGACAGGAAGAAGCGGAGGGCCTTAAGGCCATCTGCATGGGGAATGCAGGTGTAGAGGGACTGGACGTCCATGGTAAAGATGAGGTGTTGGGGCATCCTCTCAGCTTTTATCCTGTTAAACAGTGTCAGAATCTTGCGTGTTTCAGTAAGATCACCTCTCATTCTTCTAAGTTCCAGTGAATATAGGTCCAACATACTTGAACATTCCCCATAAGACAACCTTTTCATTCCAGAAATGAGTCTTGTGAAAAGTCTCTGAACTGCTTCTAACGCAAGTATGTTGCTCCTGTAGTAAGCTGATCATCCCATAGTACACCAGGTATGATCTCATTAGTGCTTCATAAAGTTGTAGTCATGTTTCCCTTTTATACTCCATCTCTCTTGCAATAAAGGCTAGCATTTTGTTTTCCTTCCTAATTACTTTCTTTCCCTATATGCTGTTTTTTTTTGTGTGATTCGTACAAGCTGTGATGATACTATGCCTTTAAGAAACATGTTCTGTCCTGTTTCTCCTGCAGAAGGGTGTTGTCACAGTGGTGCTGAAATGTCTTTTTCAGACAGGCAGTCTGACAGGGAGCTTTTGAGTTCTCCCTGCGTTTTTGTCTTAAGTAAAAAATCTAATCATGAGTAGACATGGTCAGGCTCACACAGATCCAAAAGGACTTTAGTTTTGCTCTCAGTTGTTGGGTGGTTTTTGCTGGGTCCTGGAGTTGAAAGCTTGAGTTATTTGCTACTAGAGTGAAGTCTTAGACAGAGAGATTTATTTTTTAAAATCAACCAAGGGCAGATTGTTTCTTTCTATTGGACTGGGGAGGGAGGGAGGGAGAGAGAGAGAGAAAGAACACATGAGACTAATAACTGTGTTGTTGAATTGCTTTTACCAAGGGTGTGTTTATAGGATGCTGCCAATAGTCTTACTTGACCATAGTTTAGTGAAACCAGAACATTGTTAGAGAGAGAGATGATTGATGGTGGTTAAACCTGAGGCTCACCATGCCTCCCGGGTCTTTCACAGTAACTGCAGCTAGTACAGGAATTGAACACACACTGTTGTTATCACTCTGCATTGCAAACCAGCTGTCCAGCCAACTGAGCCAACCAACCCCCAAAGGATGCTGCTTATACTGGAACAGTTGATAATTAGTGATTAAATAATATGTTGTCTTGCTAAGTATTTGAATAAAGTTATGTCATTTCTTTTGGTTGTATTTTGAATGTGTTGTAAAAATAAAGTACGTTTGATTAAAGCTTAGTGGTGGACCAATCAAATCCTATTCAGAATGCAGCATCTTACACTTGCCATTTTAAAAACATAAAGAAGTTAGGGCCCTGACTACCTCCATAATACACTTTGGAAGGGTCTGTTGTGGTCCATAACCAGGGACGTGCATGTCCCTCTATACCACTCCATTCTTCAGTCTGTTTATTTGAAGCAGCTTCTGATGCAAAACTGAATATAAGATAAACCGTCTGAAAATTCAGCAGTAGACAATTTGATATGAATAGTTGTTTGGTTCTGGTGTGAATTTCAATGTACCCTCTTCTCGGTCATAAATGTAGTATTCTCCATGTGTAGTTACTGTACTCTTTTTCCAAAGAAAGGAACAGAATTACCTGTTGAAATTGATCACCACTGAAGAAGGTTAACCTTAGTCACAGAAGCAGCTTTCTTGGCCCTGACTAGACTGTTTTTGTCCAGATCAGGTGTGCTTATTTGGCCTGTTGGGGACTATCTGTATAATGAACATTGCACACAGTTGAGCTATATTTTCTCTTTGCCTAGCTACATTGAAATTATCAAGCACTCTTAAATTGGCAAAGTATAAAGAAGCCTCCTAAACTATTTTATTTGAACTTTATTTACCATTGTGTAATCCATTCTTTTCCAAACAAAAACAACTGCTGAGAACTTTGGCACTGTTGGGGTGCCTGACTGCATGTCAAAGTTCACAGCTGTATGCATATGGACCATGCAAAATTGGCAAAATAATAAAGGCTGAAATTTACAAAGCTTTGTAATGTAATCCCCATGAAATTAAGCCATCTGCAGTAATTGGGCTGCTTTCAACGGTGCAGGATCAAAAAGCTTATCTCAAAGTTTTTCTGTTGGTGGTTTTGACTGGCTGGGTTTTGTGGTAGTTTTTCTAAAGAGTTTTCTGTTCTTGCAATTTGTGCAGATGACAGTGAGGAAGATGTTGCAGGTGAAAGTGCTGAGTTTGACAGCGTCTTCAGCAGATTGGAAGAGCTGCGAATGACACTCGAGCAAGAAATGGGCTTTGAAAATTTCATTGAAGCTTATAACAAAATCAAGGTTGTTCCCTTTCTTCTTTTTATGCCGTCTTGCGTTATTTTATTCAAGTTAAGACAGGTCTTAGAGCATTTGAGAAACTCCCAGGCCTTCTGAATTGATGCATCAGTTTTACCAAGTTTTTGCACTTGGTGTAGAATTCATGATATTCCTGACTATCAAACTGATGGGATAATTTAATAATTCCAGGAAAGAAAACTCTTGGCCAAATAGTACTTAATGACAAGTCTGGAGTTCCCACTCTTTAAGGTTGAATTTCAATTCAGAGTAAAGAAACCAAAATTTTGCAGTGCCCCCTTGTATTCGGCTGTCCTGAAGATCCATTGAACTTGGAGTGCAGCATCTTGTTTAAATTTGCTATTAATTGATACAAAAGTTACATTGCTTTGCTGAATGAGATCATGCTTGCTTCTCATGATCAAGTCGAAATTGTTGAATGCACCTGCAATTTCCTATTCACCAATATTGATGCCCATTGCACTTTGAGGACAAGATTCATAATCTCTTCCTGTATTCCCTTGCGTATAACATAGAAGATAGGAGCAGGAAGCGACCATTTGGCCCTTCGAGCCTGCTCTGCCATTCTTCACGATCATGGTTCATCGTCCAACCCCATAGCCTAATCCTGCTTTCTCCCCATAACCGTTGATCCTATTCACCCCAAGTGCTGTATCTAGTCGCTTCTTGAATACATTCAATGTTTTGGCATCAGCTACTTCCTGTGGTAATGAATTCCACAGGCTCACCACTCTTTGGGTGAAGAAATATCTCCTCATCTCCATCCTAAATCGTTTGCCCCAAATCCTCATACTGTGACCCATGGTTCTGGACACACCCACTATCGGGAACATCCTCCCTGCATCTACCCTGTCCAGTCCTGTTAGAATTTTATAAGTCTATATGAGATCCCCCCTCCTCATTCGTCTGAACTCTAGCAAAAACAATCCCAACCTTGTCAATCTCTCCTCATGCGTAGGACCCGCCATCCCTGAAATCAGCCTGGTAGACCTTTGCTGCACTTCCTCAAGCGCAATAGCATCCTTCCTCAGAAAAGGAGACCAAAACTGCACACAATATTCTAGATAGGGCCTCACCAAGGCCCTATACAACTGCAACAACACATCCCTGCTCCTATACTCAAAACCTTTCGTAATGAAGGCCAACATACCATTTGCCTTCTTTACCGCCTGCTGCACCTGCATGCTTACCTTCCCCTCTCCGAAGTTATAGCAATTCAGATAGTAATCTGCCGCCTTGTTTTTGCTTCCGAAGCGAATAACCTTGTACATAAAATATGAATGAGTGTAGCATGGATCAGGCTTTGAGATGCAAGAGAAAAATCTATTTATTTTGGTGTGCTGAGTCCAGAACAAGTACCTTAATTATAAAGCTGAGCCATTGAGGATTGATGTCAGGAACATTGCCCCCCACTCGAGTAGCAGAAAGCTGTGAAAGGGACAACATTTTTGTAACATCATCTTCAATTTATGAATTTGTAAGCTCTAAGATACTTTAACCATAGAACTTCCCACAGTGTGGAAAAAGGCCATTCGGCCCAACAAGTCCACACTGACTCTCCGAAGAGCGTCCCACTCGGACCCATCCTCTTACACTATCCCTGCAATGCTGCATTTTCCCATGGCTATCCCTGGGCACAATGGGGAATTTAGCATGGCCAATCCGCGTAACTTGCACATTTTTCGACTGTGGGAGGAAACCGGAGCACCGGGAGGAAACCCACGCAGACACGGGGAGAACATGCAAAGTCAACACGGACAGTTGCCTGAGGGTGGAATCGAACCTGGGTCCCTGGCGCTGTGAGGCAGCAGTGCTAACCACTGACCCACCGCGTCGCCCCTTCAAAACATTCGTTTCAGAGAAAATCCAATTAATTATTTCTTAGTAACCAGAAATCAAATGAAAAGTTCAAAACTTTGATGGGTTTTTGTTCAGGTTGTGTATTCTGATAGAACAAAGAGGCTGAATGTCCTATCTTGTTTCTATGTTCTTTTGAGAATTGAAACGGTGTCAGTACATTTCGGAGACGTTTTAATGTAATGCTTCTGATAATGCAGCATCTCCAGAAGTCTTCTGTCTAATTTTGGTTGCTAAAAAATGAAATATTAATTGGATTTTCTCTGAAGTGAATGTTTTAAAGTATCTTAAAGCTTCCAAATTCATGAATTGAAGATGATGCTCCAAAATGTTGTCCCTTTTGCAGCAGCACAAAACCCACTTTTATAAAACCTGTACATTCGTTATCCTGCAGAATTACTCAACTTGGATCATCAGAAAGATTATCCATTGTTTATAAAAGAGGGCTAGTTTGCATTCATACATCATATAAGGACATCAGATGTAGGAGCTAGAGCTGTCAATAGAGCAGGCCTTTGGACCTGCTCCCCCGTTCACTAAGATCATGGCTGATGTTGTATACCAACTCCATCTTCCCCACCAGCACCAGTTTGCTCTTTTCTTGCTTGTTTCACCCTAATTTTGACAATTCTTTTTAGTTTCACCTAACTTCTTCATTGCTATTCATTATCATGATTCACTTTAAAATTCTACTTCTGATGTTCTGTATCTTTCCCAGTGACTGAGGCGCATGGTTCCAGTCTTTCCCTATCAAATGCCATGACTTCTACAGAATTGTCAGTAGGGTATCACATGGTTACCACATTGAAAATCATACTGTGTTCAAAAGCAAAAAGCAGTGGTTGCTGGAATTCTAAAATTGAAAAAGAAAATTCTGGAAATACTCCAGTTAGGCATTAGCTGTGCAAAGAAAGACAGAGTTAACTTTCAAGTTGATGTGATGGAAGACCACTGACTTGAAAGTGGGCTGGACTTTTCCACAGACTTTGAGCCACCAGTGTCAGGGCCATATGGGCTCCTAAACCCAGACTTGCTCGCAGGGAGACTGTTCAGTCCACCAGGACGTGGCTTCTTAATTAGCCACCTCCACATTTACCATCCTTTGAAGAACATTTCTTCCGGAAGTCCAGAAGTGGCTCAGCTGAAGAGGTGACACCAAGTACCATTAACAACAGATGTCTGTAAATGTTCGTAGAAATGGGAACTCATGCTGATCATGCATCAGGTTCTTCAGTCGTGAGAGGACCCACTAAAGAGAATGAAGTCACTTATAACTTGGACGTGCTTGAATGGTGAGGAATCTATCACCCAAGACCACAGAGAAGCCCTTGATGCTAGAAAATCTGGAGTGTTCGTAGGACAGAGGTGTTTGCTGATGGAGTTGGTTAGAAATCTCCATGTGGAGACGCTCTCACTAGCCTGTGCAGTATGAAAGGGAAAAAAACGGCTGGAAATCGCATGTCAATTAATATTGAGAGAAATGAGCTGCACAGGCGTCTTTATTACGCTTATAACTCTGCCAAAGAGGTGTGGAGCCTCGGTTCCAATGACCCTCTTCCATCTGCTGCAAGGAGCTGCCTCCATTGAACTGACAACATCTGCTTGTGGCCAAGTCCTGCTCCACTGGTAGCAAAATACGGACCAGATAAAGGAAAGGTTTGCCTGTCAAAGGCTTTCTACTTTGGATCACTGCAAAGTTTCTTCCACAGGATCTATGCTGAACAGTGCCAGGAACTCAGTCAGTGCCTTATATCTCTATGACAGTGGAAGAGAATAAAATGTTCATTTGAAATATCGGTTACATTCAGTCCTTTTTCTTTTTGTTCTTCGTGAAGTGGGTGGGGTCTGGTTAGATGATTTGGCTAAATGGCTAGCATGTTTTTGAAAGTAATGTCAACAACATTGGTTTAATTCCCATTCTTGCTGAGGTAGGCTTGTGACCTGCTGCCTTGCCCGTCCAAGACTTGATGAGCATTGCTGCCCTTCAAGGCACACCGCAACTTGTCTGTGTTGTGCATTGTGGCTAAATAACTACCAACTTCATGAAACAGGTAGCTTTTTATACCAGAGATTCCCCTGCTGATGCAAATGTTTTCTACACTATAGGTAGGTATCTAGGTTTTGTGTTGTTTCAGTTTTAACTTTTGAATGATTTTTATTTATCAGAATTATTTGCCCTGCTTTAAAGTTAATGTTCTGACAGGTTTATGTTGTTTATTGATGTGACACCCAAATCCTTTTTAAAGTTACAATTTATTCCAATATTCATATTTATTTAGCTTTTTTTTTTGAAAGGCTTACAGTTCTCAACAAAACAATTTATTTTTGGCTGTCAGTAAATTCCGCAACATGTGAAATAAAGTATAGAAACTTTCTAAAGTTCAAAGAGACACCCAAGAGATTTCTATTAAACGTTGAGAAATGTGAGCATCTGTAAGATTTATTTATTACATGATTTCAGTTCCCTGTGAATAGGTGGTGCTGGTGGTGAACCTGGTAGAACCACTAGAGTCCATCTTGGAAAGGTACTCCTGTAATGTTATTAGTTAAGTGCTGGCAGGATTTGACCCACATATACCATGTATTGAACAGAAAATGTTTACCTGTAATCTAACATTTAAAGAATACTACCATAATAAGCAAAGCCACAAGGGAGCAGTGCTCCAGTTGTATTGTGTGAATATACAATGTGTGGTTTCTCTGCTGCTGTAAATGAAATTGAAAGAAGAATCCCTAACGTTAACAGTCATTGGTATTTGTGACTCTTCCTCATGTAAAGGTTTGCTCTGTGTTGCACATTATGAACATTGAACTATGATACTATACTGACTGGAAGAAGTTATTCAACTGTCACAGTAAATGATGAGAGACAAAAGCTACCAAAGCTTGTAAGTTAACTCATTTGTTCAACTCCGAACAAACTTTGACAACCTCAACAAAATTTATCCACAAATACTGACTCTGACAGGATGGATGAAATGTTCATGTGTTGCTGTATTCTGTGTGTATTTTTCTGAGGATACTTTGCTGTTATTTTCCCAAACTGAATTGAGTTTATTGATATCTCAAGTTAAATGATACATTTGGGATTAGGAGTAATGGTTCCTGTTTTGCTTTCATTCATTTCAGTAGCATTTAATTTTCCCCCTTTTCTCGGTCCTTGTTCCCTCAACTTGATTTTGCATGAATTTTGTGGCATTCTACCAGTAAAGCCTGCAGTTTCGAATAGTGATATCTGCCAGTTATATTTTTGAGATTAACAAAGCACTTTTGTGGAAAATTGCGTATTAAATTCTGATCTCATCATTCCATAGAATAGAAAGTGAAAAAGGTGTTAGTGGGTGATGCCTTTAGCATAGGTATGGGCAGATGCAGCATGGGTTCATAAAGTGCAGGTCATGTTTAACTAATTTGCTGGAATTCTATGAAGACATTACGAGCATGGTGGATAACACTGACCCAGTAGATGTGGTGTATCTAGATTTCCAAAAGGCGTTCGACATGGTGACGCACAAAAGACTGCTGCATAAGATAAAGGTGCACTGCGTTACTATCAATGTATTAGCATGGACAGAGGATTGGCTAACTGACAGGAAGCAAAGAGTGGGGATAAATGAGTGCTTTTCTGGTTGGCAATCAGTGACTAGTAGTGTGCCTCAGGGATCAGTGCTGGGACGGCAATTGTTTATAATTCACATCGATGATTTTGAGTTGGGGACCACGTATAGTGTGTCAGAGTTTGCGGATGACGCTAAGATGAGTGGTAGAGCAAAGTGTGCAGAGGGCTACAGATAGTTAAAGTGAGTGGGCAAAGGTCTGGCAGATGGAGTACAATGTTGATAAATGTGAAGTCATCCATTTTGGTAGGAATAACAGTAAAAAGGACTCTTATTTGAACAGTAAAAAATTGCAGCACACTGCTGTGCAGAGGGGCCAGGGTGTCCTTGTGCATAAATCACAGAAGGTTAGTTTGTTGATACGACAGATGATTAACAATTTAAATGGAATTTTGTCTTTCATTGCTGAAGGGATTAAGTTTAAAAGCAGGGAGGTTATGTTACAGCTGTATAGGGTGCTGGTGAGGCCATACTTAGAATACTGCTTGTCGTATTGGTCTCCTTTATTTGAGAAATGATGTACTGGCACTGGAGGGGGTGCAGAGGACATACACTAGGTTGATTCTGGAGTCAAGAGTGTTGACTTATGATGAGAAACTGAGTAGACTGAGATTATATTCATTGGAATTTAGAAGAATGAGGGAGGATCTTATAGAAACATATAAAATTATGAAGGGAATAGAAAAGATAGAAGCAGGGAGGTTTTTTCCACTGGCGGGTGAAACTAGAACAAGAGGGCATAGCCTCAAAATTAGGAGGAGCAGATTCAGGACTGAATTGAGGAGGAACATCTTCACCCAAAGGGTTGTGATTCTATAGAATTCCCTGCCAAATGAAGTAGTTGAGGCTTCCTCATTGAATGTTGTTAAAGCTAAGATAGATACTTCTTTTGAACAGTAAAGGAATTAAGCGTTATGCTGAGAGGGTGGGTAATTGAGCTGAGGCCACGAGAAGATCAGCCATGATCTTATTGAATGGCGGAGTAGTCTCGAAGGGCCAACTCCTGCTCCTGTTCTTATGTATCTTGCATAAATAGCTGTTCTTCATGAGCGGTTCCTAATACTGGTTATATTGAGTTTATTTGAAATGGGACATCATTACAACTGGATATCCACAAATACATATAGCAAGGCTTGTTGGAGCTCCTGATTCTTTTTCCCCTTCTATCCATGTTCTCTGGGAACTGTTACAGCACTCTTAATATCACTGCATCTGAGACCAGTAGATTGGCACTGACCACAGGATCTTCCTGATCTATATAGGCATACTACCATAATAAGCAAAGCTACAGGGGAGCAGTGCTCCTGTTGTATTTTTGTGAATGTACATTGCTCACATGCATTATCTTTACTGTAAGTGAAACGTTTAATTCCTTTCAGTAAATGTTCTCATGTTAGAAATTTTTTAACTCCCATGATACACAAATGAACTAATGTTTGTTTTGTGGGGCAGGCAATACATGAAGATGAAGATGAGAACATTGATATTGGCACTACAATAGTGCCGGTCATCCTGGGTCCTCAGTTTGAGCACCTGTATTCCAAAATTCTCCATCTTGTCATGGCAGATGGAGCATATCAAGAAGGCAAGTTTATTTTTCCATTTTGTACTCTGATGGAGATTCTTTTAAAAGTTGTTGTTATCATTATTTGGAAACTTGGGTTTTAAAGTGGACAGAACGTCATATAGCTTTTAATTTGGATATGTATTTCTATACTGTCTATGCTAAGAATGTTTTAATTGATTTTTATTTGTTAGTCCTGTAATTGCTACCTGAGGTTTATTTACATGTATTTAGATGAGGCATTTAAGAATGAGGTGAACAGTTCAGTGCATCAGAAACAATAAATAGAAGAGAGGCAAACAAGGTCTTTGTCAAGTCACAAGGTGTCCTATGTCACAGTGACAGAGTCAGAAATGGTTTCCCTAATAGTGAAAGAACCATCCAGAAGCTCAGGTCAGTGTGAAGGTTTCTTTCAACAGAAAAAGGCCACTATGTGCAGCAATGCAGTTTCAGTCTCCAGAGCAATTGAGGCAGGGAAAAGAAGTTCTGAGAAGCTCCAGAAACAGAATTAAGGAATTTATTTAAAATAAATAAGCTGTGAGCAGCTTAAGGGTCATCTGAAGAGACATTAATTAAAGAAGCTAGCAGCAAATGCAAAACTTTGCTGGCAAGAAACCAGTACAGCCATCCCACCAGAAGCAGGAATTTTACAGTGCAAACGGAGTAAGGCTTGTGATTCAGTAAAAAGTTGAATCTTTATTTTAGCTGTTTATAATAAGACTGTTTCAAGAAGTTCTTGAATGTATAAGCACTTTGTTTATTTCCTTTTTGCGTATATTAAAATTTGTTTTTTTCCAGTAAGTACATGAACAGCCCTTGGTGAATCAGAGTATGTACTTTGAATATCATATTGGCCACCTGCATGAGCTGTTTCCTTTCTGTGATGTAGCCTTCTTTGCCAGGAGGTATTTACACATGTCCACATGCTGCGGACTGCCTCTTTTGCTTTGAGTTTTTTTCTGTTAAAAAGACCGCTTCCCGCAATCAATGACACAGACAACGTTTTATGGTTCCTGCAAGGTTATTAAATACACAGAGCAGAAACCTATTAATCTGACAGGAAATCACACTGAGGGCAGCTCGCAATGCGAAGATGGCCCCTTTTCCAGTCAGTATGTACAACACCTGGGGCAGAGAAAGAGTCTCGGTAAAGCCGTGGAGCTCATCCTTCTCACAAATCAAATTCCTAAGAACATCTTTCAAAATTCTAAATTTTGCATTGAAATTTCTGAATAACCATCACAGCAGGAATGCTCGGGCTTTTGGCTCCACCCTGCATTGTGATTATATGAGCAGTGCCATCTTTGTTCCAGGCAGATGCCATTTCATTACCAAGCTGTGTTTCTTTGTGTACCATCATGACACCCAGGCTAAGGCGGTGGTCTACACAATAAACACTGCCCTTGTGAATATTTTCAATACCTGACCGTCATGGTAAACTAATTGCAGCAGGTTTTGCTCTTGGATCAGACTTGTCCAGTATTACCATGAACTGAGAACATCGTAACCCGAGAATTGCTCTTAATAAAACGGTGGGCTTCTATTCTAGCCACAATTCCTTGCACTGGGAAGTGTTTGAGGCTGAGCCTGACTACTCTCAACATTGTCCTTTTTAACCCTGAGATGAGCTTGATATCTGCACTGTCTATTAATAGCTGCATAGAATTATCATACTCTGTCCCTACCTGTGCTCCTCTGCTTCTGAAACCCTCCATTAGACTCTTTAAAGGTTTGACTACTCAAATGCACAATCTGGTGGTCTCACATTATCCACTCTCCATAAAATTGAGGTCATCCGTGTGCTGCCATGCCCTTGCTAACATGAAGTGCTGTTCACTTCTTCACCACAGTTCTCGCTCATATACTCTAGCTATTGAGCAAGCAATAACTGGATTTTTAAATTTTCATTCTTTGTTTTCAAATCATTTCATAGCCTTTTCTCTCTCCCATCTCAGTCAACCCCCTTCAGCCTCAGAGCCCTTTGATATCTGTCCTGAAATTCTTAAGCTCATTGTATTTTAATCATTTAACCTTTGATGGCCTTGCCTTCAAGTCCTTCAAATAAGCTCTGGAATTTCCCCATTAGATTTCTTGGCCTCTCTCTCAATCTTGCTCCCTTTCCCTTTCATAACACTCCTTGGAGTGTTTCAATATGATAAAGCTGCTATATGATTAAAGGTATTATTGTAGTTGTAGGTGTATTAAATGCCTCTCCTATTTTCATTGTGTAATTTTGTTACGTATTTGTGCTAGCATATTGTATGCACGGGATCTTTTTCTTAAAACTTTCACATTCTTCCTACTTAATCTTCTTTTATTCAAGGCTGTCTGACTTCTTCATCAAATCATTGCTCCTCTTCACCAATATCAATATCTATGTGCGTTCCTGTACGTTTTCAAACATACATCAATTGTTCAGGGAATCCTCCTCCTCCTCCTCCTCCTCCTCCTCCTCCACCCAAAAATGCCTGACCTCTGCAATGTGCAGCTTTGGATGAAATTGGTCTCTAGGCAACTGAGACTATTCTTTGAAATGCTCAAAATAGGCAAAGCAACCTCCCATTGTTAGATTGCCTGCAAGTTTCAGTCCCTGACACCCTGTACTACAGCTCTACATCTAAGTGTTTAACTACCTTCATATCTTTGCCATTCCAGAGTGACTGAAGGGAGCCCCTCGACAATTGTTTTCCGTGCACACTCTAACCATGGATTAATGGATCCTGTCTGTCTGGGAGCTTACAAAAAATATACAATCCTAACTCATGTTTCCAATCAATATCTTCTGTAAAAGCTTCTCAGCTACTTCATCGTACTTCTAAATTGACATGCTGAATAATTTCGCCCCAACATGAAATCTCATCTTTTTCTGAATCCTTCTCAATGCCAGAAGATTTTTTTTACTGTTGTGTTTTGCAAATAATCCTTGAGAGAAGCCAGTGAAACTGTCCCATGCCCATTGTTAATAATCAGTCTATCTGCTGAGCCCTGCATACAGAGAGGGAGATGATCCTAGCTTTCCAAACATTGCCAGCTCTCCTTTGTTTACTGAAACATGTTATCTGTTTACTTTTGTAGTTGGTCAAGATTTTCTTTCCCTTTTTAAAGGTTAAAGATCTTTGAAGTGTTTAGAATGTTGAATGGAATTGAATTAGCTTTATTGTCACACATACTCACACATGAGTACAGTGAAATGTTTACAAGTCACCTCTTACAGAGCCATCTTAGATACAAAGGTACCTGGATACAGATTATTAAGTACAAATTTTTAGAGACAAAATTAGAAGAATACAGAAATAAAAAGTCCAGCATTATGCACCTTCAAAGGTGCAAAATCATAGTATGACCTGTAGTGTGATCAGTAGTATAAATTAAGAGGAAGTTTTTTAAAAGAAGAGATGACAGAACAGGAAATAGAAGAATATATTGTTGAAATGGGTATGCACTCCTGTGAGCACTGGGAGAGTCCATTTGGACCAAACATCCTATTGCAATGCAGGAAATTTAATGTATCTCCACCAATCACAAAGACTGTCAACAAAAGGTTTAAAATTAGCCAGAACATCCCATTTTAATGTGAAAATGTGAAATTTTCCTGATTGAATCCTAGAGAAACCGGAATAGAACTAACAGAAGTCAAGTCTGGAAGGAATGCATATTTCTATTTTTGCTGACTGCAGCCTGGCTATCGACCATAACATTGGTTTTAAATAGTCTCATTTGCTGCTGAGTAATTTTTGAGGAACAATAGAAAATTTAACCAAAGTTCTTTTCTCCCAAACAAATATTTTTTTTCTGCTGGATGTCTTGGGAGACAGAAGAAAAATAAATCTTCATATGGAGAGTAGGTTTCCATAAAATTCAAGAACTAAACTCATTTTCACTTTGGCTCATTTTCAGTTTAAAGAAGAAAGTGTGAAGCACATGCTTATTGTTCAATTTAGTGTGTTAGGCAAATGTATCAACTGAAGCTAGTATCAATGCTCTTATGGAGCATTTTGGGACATTTTATTAACGACACTATATAAATACAACTTATTGCCAAAAGTAAAACTTAAAATGCATTGCATACCGTTTATACCAATGCCCCTTTGTGTTTGCTCCATTGTGATTGACGACCTATTGGAAAGCTTACCTGAAAAACACTGTCAGTAGCACTTTTGGTACAATCGATCTTTGACTGTATATTCAGGGCTTAATGGGAGTTCTCAGCTTTTGAGGCAGTCTGTGTTCAGTTTCCTAAATTTATATCTTTAGTGATCATTAAAAATAACTCCTTTATTCAAAAAGGAAGGAAGATAGAAAGCAGGAAACTACACGCCAGTTACTTAACATCTTCTATATGACAGATGTTAAGAACTATTACTAAAGATGTTATTGGGGGTACACAGGAAAAAGTGAAGGTAAGCAGGTAGAATTGAAACGATTTTGTGAAAAGGAAATCATGTTTAACCAATGTATTGGAGTTTTCTGAGTAAGTAGCATATTCTGTGGATAATTAAATTAGCTTGGATTTCAAGCATTTGATAAGATGCGACATCAAAGGCTATTGTAGAAAATAAAAGCTTGTGGTGCAGGGGCAACATATTGGGACAGATACAGAATTGGCTGCCTTGGGGTAAGGGGTTGATTATTTTGAACTGAGAAGAAATTTCTTCACTTGAAAAGTTTGGAAGTCTTTGCAATTCTGTACCCCGGAGAGTCATGTTTGCCTCATTGTTGAAGATAACTTCATGTTGACGTAGACAGAAATTTGAGATCTCCAAGGAGTTAATGGATATGGGGAAAGGGTCAATGAATTTAAAGTAGTTCAGCCATCAGAAAGGTTTAAGGTGCAGCATTCTCGACTCCTGCTTTTGTTTCTTATCTCTTTCCATCCTCCTTTATCAGAATCTCATTACAGGTTCTGTTAAATTGCTCAGTTTGCTTTCAATTCAGTCAACCCTATGAACCTTGGTGTGAGTGCATCATATTTTAGTTTACACGGTTAATCATGTCCATTCAGTATATGTAATTTGTACTAA